ATTCTACATCATGAGTTTACTGTATCCCCATTTGTATTCTACATCATGAGTTTACTGTATCCCCATTTGTATTCTACATTATGAGTTTACTGTATCCCCATTTGTATTCTACATCATGAGTTTACTGTACTCCAATTTGTATTCTACATCATGAGTTTACTGTATCCCCATTTGTATTCTACATCATGAGTTTACTGTACTCCAATTTGTATCCTACATCATGAGTTTACTGTACCCCCATTTGTATCCTACATCATGAGTTTACTGTTAGTTTGGATATAACTTTCTACTGAAATCTGTTATCTAAGAAGGCAGTTCTAAGGAAGTGTGTTATTAATGATATACTTTATAGTATTTCAATATGTCTAATAATGCTGTTTACAAAATAGTTTATAATCCTAAATAATTTAAAAGTGAAAATTCATTCGTGTCAAATAATATTTGTAATATTCAGTAATTTGTTATCTTGTTTACTCTAGCATGTGGAGTAGGAGAAAGGGTTTCTAGGATTGTTGGTGGTTTCGAAACCAGCCCTGGACAGTGGCCTTGGATGGTATAACACTTAAAATATGTTACTCCAGAGTTGCTAAAAATGGTGTTACGTTTATTCGGCCAGCATTAAGTAACAATCTAACCCTAACCATATATATGTTAGTGAATGTTACTTATATAAATTCGTATACCTATTTTAACGTATTTCATATTTCAATCGATGTAATTAACCTTTGTGAACCATTTTAGGTTTTTCTTGTTTAATTTGATTTATATTGTAGTTATGTTTTAATACTATTGGGCCTTACTTTTTTGACAGGTTTTATGGTCTAGTCCCAAAGAATCGTCACAAAATCCTGCTTCAGTTGTTACTAACTAACCTATTTCACACCTAAAATCCTGCTTCAGTTGTTACTAACTAACCTATTTCACACCTAAAATCCTACTTCAGTTGTTACTAACTAACCTATTTCACACCTAAAATCCTACTTCAGTTGTTACTAACTAACCTATTTCACACCTAAAATCCTGCTTCAGTTGTTACTAACTAACTTATTTCACACCTAAAATCCTGCTTCAGTAGTTACTAACCTATTTCACACCTAAAATCCTGCTTCAGTTGTTACTAACTAACTTATTTCACACCTAAAATCCTGCTTCAGTTGTTACTAACTAACTTATTTCACACCTAAAATCCTGCTTCAGTTGTTACTAACTTATTTCACACCTAAAACCCTGCTTCAGTTGTTATAACTAACCTATTTCACACCTTACTTAATTTCAGTTAAATTGTAACTTGTATTGTTTAGTAAAATAATTTAAAAATTAAAATTGTTTAGAGAAATAGTGATGTTTCATCTCCAATAGATTTATAACGAATAGAAAATATAATTAATATATATTATTACTTTATGCTATTGTAGGTGAAAGAAAATTAGTAACCTAAAAGAACAAAAAATAAAAGCAGAGTGTTTTATCAATTAATTAAAATAAACATGATATAATAGAATAATTGTTTCTTTATGAGAAAGGTGGCAATATTTTTACGTACAAGAAGTTCAGAAAAGTTTTGGTGTGGTGGCGCTCTAATCGACGATCGTGTTGTTTTGACAGCAGGGCATTGTTTATCTCATCCTTTGGGTTACAGGTAAGGTTGTTTGTAGTGTTAGGAGAGCACAGACAAATTATTATTTATATATACTACTTTGGTTTTGAAAATTGATATTAACACTGAGACCTAATATCTTAATGTTAGTAGCTTTATTTGGCAAAAACTGCTCCTATATTAAAATTGAAATTAACATTTTTAGTCGCGGTTGTGAATGTAGCAGATCAGACAAAATAGAGACATTTGAAATTCATTTAGAATTTTTTATCAGATTCTGAAGATAATCGTTTGGTAATATAGGTTATAGAAAATATTTCACTACTATTTCAGTAATGCTTTTAAATGTTTAACCCATAACTTTCTCCAGGAAACGGTACAAAGTTATGTCCACAGCACCAAAATGGTTCTAAAATATTGTTACGTCTCCGTTTGTTAATTAATTTTCCGCAACTTCGTTCCGACGAAACTTTAGCGACACAAGTCCTTACTTAATAAAACTGGTTTATTCTTTCCGACTATAACTTTACGATACAGTTAATTTCAACATTCGCGCTAAAACAAACACTATAACGAACGAACGTTAACTTCAACAATACCCTGTGACTGCAGATCAATTACTCACTACCTACACACATTGTTACGTCACGCCGTGACCATCTTATATATACCAGACTACCCTATATCTAGTAATCTCCCGACAATTCACGA